CATGTTGACTTGAATCATTTGCCTCCTGCAGTTATTCTAAGATTTATCATTGGGAAGATGACAGTATTCTTAGTAAATCACTGAATTTAGGAGTCAAAAGACTTGTATTTAAGTTCTTGTATGCCAAGACTATGGGAAAGCCATTTAATCCTTTTGCGTTTTCTTATCTTAAAAATGATGATATCAATGCTTCCCCTTGAGAGCTATTGAGAGGATTAAATGAGGTAATTTGTGTGGGAACATTTTTTAGCAATTGGTGGAGCACAAAGAGCCCAGACTCTGTAGTCAGAGACATTGCTTCAAATTCTCCTCTCACCTCTACCCATCCGGAAGACCCTCGGGCCGTAATTTACACATTGTGGCTCTACTTCTTCACCTGTAGAAGAGGGTAAACTATCTACCTTAAAAAGAGGGTAAAAGGAACAACATGTAAAGAGTTCTGCTGTATATTTAGCCTCAGAAAATTCACCCCTTCAAACAAAAAAACCTGTAGAAATTATAATGGTGCAAGGAAACTCAAGAAGACAGCTTCTATTTTTTTTCACTTTTAAAAACTAAATCCTTAATAACAAGAAAAGAATATTCCATATGTATGTAAAATATTAAAAATAATAATAAAATTGACATCTGTGTATTGGCCATGCATTTAAGAAGTACACTTCTTACTGTGGCCAAGTGGTTCCGTTCATGTGCTCTGCTTTGGCCCAGGGTTTCCCCTGTTTGGATCCAGGGTGCGGACATGGCACCACTCATTGGGCCATGCTGAGGCGGCGTCTCACATGCCACAACTAGAAGGACCCACAACTAAAATATATGACTCTATGCTGGGGGGATTTGGGGAGAAAAAGCAGAAAAAAAAAAAAGATTGGCAACAGTTATTAGCTCAGGTGCCAATCTTTAAGAAAAAAAAAGAAAGAAAGAAATACAAACATCTTTGAGGTCTCCTGTGGACCTCTATCCAATCCCCTCTGACCCCCTTCCCCCTAAAGTAACTAAAGTCCTGAGTTTTGGGTTTCTCTTCTTTACGACACATGCAAGTATTCTCAAACAATATATTTTAGTTTTTAAAAATTTTGTATTAATAGATTTTTACCGTATGATTACTTCTCTGACTTTTTTGACTCAACGTTATGTTTATAAGATTCATTCATGTTGTTTAGCTGTAGATCAGTCATTTTCACTACTATATGTAGTGTAGTACAGAAATATATCTTTGTAAATATGTGTTTATGTATTCATAGGGAGCATGCCTAGCCCAAAGGTCTCTATTTCTAAATATTCTTCTCCACTAGAAGAAACCAGGGCTCCTTGAAAAAAAAATGCCCAATCCCAGGTATAGGGCAGGAAAAACATAAAATGAGTCTAGAACACATTTTATGTGCCAGAAACAAGGATTTGCTCAAAAAATAATGGAGATATGTCCAAAGGACATAGACAATTACATATCACTCTGGTGGGCGATGTTGATAACACTGGAAGCTGTGCTTTTATGGGGGCCAGGAGTATACGGAAAATGTCTGTATCTTTCCCTCAATTTTGCTATGGACCTTAAATTTCTCTAAAGAAAAGTCTTAGTTAAAAAACAATACAAAATAGAGAGACCAGATTGAAGGGGGTCCCACTGGCCAAATCTGTGATAATTTGAGCATCAAAATAAATATTTATAGTAATGGATTAAAGCTGATGAATAAAACATGAAACCATGAGTCCCCCCTGACATAAATAAATGAAGTTGATAGTTTGATGAAGGATGGGATAGTTTCAAAGTACTTTCCCACAAAATGCTTATTAATTTCAAAGGGAAAAAGAGTAGCTTCGTAGTGGAGAATCTTGGCAGACACCTTAATCAAGTAATTTCACATCACCAGTAATGGGACAAATAGAAATTGACAGGATGTAGTGAAAAGAACATAGCATCACTTCTGTGAGGTTTCTGCCAAGAATCTAAATTTAATTAGGAGGAAACATTGGATAAACCCAAACTGAGGAGTATTCTACAAAGTTACTGACCACTTACAATCTTCAAAAATGTCAGGATTATGAAAGTCCAGGAAAAGCTTAGGAATTTTCTAGATGACATGACAACTAAATGCTGCATGTGATTCAAGACTGGATCCTTCTTCTATAAAAGATATTATTAGGACAATTAGCGAAATTCCAATGGAGTCTGAGGATTAGTTGTTAGTAATGTATCAATGTTAATTTCCTTATTTTGATAGTTTATTTTGGTTATATATAGGAGAATAACCTTACCTGAGGAAATTCCCAATAAAGTATTTGGATATTATCAGACATCATATCAGCAGCTAACTCTCAAATATGTTCAGCAGAAGAAAAGTTTTTATACGGTTTTTGCAATTTTTCTATAAGGTTTAGGTTGTTTTAAAAATAATAAAAAAGCTATATACTCAAAGAGGCAACGTACTTAAGATCAAGCTGGACAACTTATTTTAATTAAACTTGTACATAGTACTCAAAGCCCAATGCTCAGAAAATACAGGCATCTTAACCCAATTAGTTAAATCATGTCAGAGATAGGTAGGAGCAGAGAGAATAGAAAATGATCTATGCTGACTGAGCATTAGATCTAGGGAAAGGAAACTATATACTTAAGTATAGACTATTCAGTCAGATGGTGTGAGTTCAAACACAGCCCCATCAGTTACCAGCTGTGTGGCCCTGGGGAATTCATCTCTCTGAGCCTCAGTCGCCTAGTTTGTAAAAAGGGAATGATAATAATGTCCATTTCCCAGAATTTATATGGATTAAAGAAGATAATCTTAAGCAACTAGTACAATGCCTGGTGCATAGCAGGTCCTTAAAATTTGTTCACTGTTAATGTCATTGTTATATTTATTTTTATATTCCTCCTTTCCCTGTTAGGAAAAATTACTTGCATCATTCCCTTCCCTTCCCCTGTGTTGACTTTTTGGGTGGAAAAGATCCACAGATTCTTTCTAAGCGTTTCTGAACCCAGAAGATAGTGTAAAGATGAAAATAATGGTAACAACAAGATCAACATTTCACATATATCAATTCATTTAATCATTTAATCTATGAGGTTAAGAATACTGCTTTTATAGATGGGGAAACACATGTCATATTCAGTAGTTTCATGACCACTCTATATATGCTACATAACAACCAAACTTACATTTCTTTGACTCAAAATTTTCTCCTTTTTTTTTAAAATGTAAGTCAGCTTGCCTCTAAAAACTTCTCATTTGTTCTGGAAGATTTTGGATAGTAGAGATAAACAAAGCCTGATTCTCAGTGGAAACTCTAAAAATATTTATTGTGTTGAATTGAGTAATATGTTTGTGTTCATAATCTAAGTTACCATAATATGGATTACTTTAGGACATTTTTTACTGAGATAGATTTGATAGAGAAGGCAAAAAGTGACAAGGGTCTTTGGTGCCTTCCAGAATGGAAAGACGGAGTTACCGAATTGCTAAAGAAGCACAAAATGCCAAGTAATAGAAACAAACTTCTCATTTGATGATTTCCATAGGGCCAGCTTTACCTCCTGCCATTCTTCATGACACATCTGACCTGACTCAGTCTCTGGTCAAACCAGTTTTTAAAAATTTATGTATAATTATTTTCTACAAATATTTCCTTGAGTCTATGAGAGAGAGAAAGAGAGAGAGAAGGAATAGCTAATTATCTTCCTCTTAATAACTACACTTCATATGCTTGGGAACCATGTGTGAACAAACTCTCTCTTTTCCAAGCTAAGCAAGAGCAGTTGCTTTCCCATCTGATCCATTTTCCAATAATTGAACATGTTTATCATTTTCCTTTGGGATTGCTTCCAAACCTCCCTCTTCTTTGCATATAAGGCTCCAGGCAGTCTCCACTATTCTAATGGGAACCTCTCTCAATTCCAAATATAAGACTTGGAGGGATAACCCAATTTTATTCCTATATTCATCCCATTACAACATGAGCAGCATATATGGTTTGTGATTTATCTTCAGATAATTTTATTAAGATCTGTGGGTGCAATTTTGCCATGCTGGTGCAAATACATAACAAATTAAATGGGTAAAAGCCCTCCTTTCTAAAAAGAAAAATAAATCAGATAATGTGATTTAAAAGACCCACAAAAAAATAATGAGAAATTTTAAATGGTATATGAAATAGAAGATTACAGAGTAGCAAACCTCAAAATTAAGAAATTATTATGTAATATATAATAAATTTGTCTCTTTTACCTGCAACAAACAACTTCTCCAATTTATAGAGGGATAGTTAATATTAATAGAAATGAATGAGATTTGGAATACTGCCTCAAGACCTTGGAATAGAGCAATATTCACGAAATGGGTTTAACATAGTCTTTTCTGTTTCTTTTCTAATTTATTTCACAAAGAAAACACTTCAACAACATATGATTAAGATTTAAACTGAAATAATTATAATTGTAAATTACATTAACAGTTTCCTAGATTGTAAAAACATTACCATATTTTTTTCCAGCTTTGTTGAGATATGCTTGACATATAACATTACGTAAGTAACATTAACATATTTTAGACTGGAATTTCTCCCTTTGGAGGTATTAACAGCTTAGGAAGTAAAACAAAAAAATCTTTTGTCTATTGTTCAAAGAAATATTTTGTTTATATTGTCACAAGGAAGAGAGAAGTCTTTTATCGAAAGTCACCCAACATTTGGATCTCACTTAATAAGACTTAAAATCCAAGAAAGAGAAGTTGTGTTGTTGTAAACAATGGTTATGTTGAATGAACTCCTTCCAGTTTTTGAAGATCAAGGTACGGAGAGATTGTCCACAGCAAGACTACTACACATGTGCAAGGAAAATCAGGCTTATGTCCTTCACTAAAATGAAACCTAAAATAAAGATCCTAGACAGTTAATTTTGGATTAATGAAACCTATTTGTGGAAATAATGAGCAACAAAATGGCATAACAAGGACCAAGAAAATAATCCCTCTTTCTTTTTCTTTTTCTTTTTGTTTTTTGCAAACCAGTAGCATGAGTGGCCTGTGGATCTCCTCTATAGGAGGAAGCAGATTTAATCCTGATGTTCATTTGTAAAGCCTTTAGCTTAAAAGGTAAAGAAAAATTATTCCTGGATAATTGTTCCTTACAGCAGATTTATTGTGAATAGAACATTTGTGTTTGTGTGTGTGTATGCGTGTTTGGGAGGGTTGTTTTCCTGGGCACATACAGAAGACAGATTGTTGATAGCAAATGTTTAGTCAAGGGTGAGAACACTTTTGTTTTTGTTACAGATCCTTTCTACCAGCCAGATGATATTTTCTCCTTTTAATCAGTGCCACAGAAGCTTTTGTGCGTTATAGGAGTGCTGCTTAAATATGATAGAACAGCCATATCTTTTAATTTAGTCCCAGTAGGAGAATAAGCCATTCTTCTTTTACTAGGCGACAGACGGGGACTTTTCATGTTACCTAAAGCTCAGCTGTGGGAAGCCTTTGAGAGATAGTGTTATCATGTTGGATTTTCTTGAATCATTTACCAGAGGCAACTGGCTGTCTCCATTTTCCACAAAGCATTGCTTTTGAACTGGAATGCTCTTTGGAAATGAGCCTGAAAGGCAACATGCACACACTTAGCACATTGTTTGCCTGGCCTTATACTTAATAGGTGTGATGGGACAAAAGTAATTAACATATGAGGAAGGTCCTGGCTTGGCCTGCTCAATTCCCTTCACTTCCTTGCATACAGAGGAAGGCTCCACCAATTCCAGACAATTCTTTGGCCTTTTATGATGCAAAATTGATGGAATGAGTATAAGATAGAAAGGCCAAAAGCAAAGCAGATGGATTTTTGACAGAAAAGCAGAGCAGAGAACTAGCATCCAGGGATCTGCAGGCAAGGCATGTCCTTTGCTAGGGGGCTCTGGGAAGAAGTGAACTTTTTGAAGAAAGAAATCTGGATGATGGAATGATGTAGAAGCATAAGCAATTCTTCTGTGGAGGGACAGTGAGAGGCTTCCAGGGGCTTGGGACATTATAAAATAGAGAAAGAGAGGATTTTAATGAGTTCTGTTGTTTATGACTTGTATCCTCTTTAAAGATGTTGACATATGTATGTAAACATTGGACATCCTGTCTGGATTATACTTCTCTGAATGTAACAGCCGTCTGGGACTGAGCCCAGTGACCATGGCTTCCTTGGGATTATATCTGCATGACAGTTATGAGCTTTTATAACAGGCTTTTTCTTTGGGTGCTTCCTATTTCAGACACATTTTCGTCCATTGGAAAATTTCCAATGATGAGAGGTTTCTGTGGGTGTATGAATATCTTTGAACCGATAGACTCATTCATCTACAAGACCATTTTAGACACCTGTGAAGTATTCTCTATGTCACGCAAGCAGTAGATCTGCTGACAATGCTATATCATAAAATAAGATTTGTGATGCTGTTAGAGATACAAGATGGTGAGTGATGATGATGGGGCACAACATCTTAAGAGCCTGAAGATGAACTGGAAAAAATTAAAATCAAGTTTCAAGAGATTTATTTGCCAACATACATCTAGAGAAAACTTGGCAGGGTGTGTAGAAACAAGTAAATACGCAAGTGAGCTATCAAGTTGCTTAAGTCTTCCTTTTGTTCAGAATATTCCTATTGGGTAGAACTCTTAATTGATTACTTGTTGAACGTTCTCTTGAATCTGTGAAGTTTTTTGGGACTTCGACTTTACAGCAATAATAAAAGATTTTCAAAGGAGAATCTAATCATCCCTCAAGAATGATTTCCATTTCTAAACATGCATCTCTGATTCTATATAATATAATCAATTTTGTAACTTTTAAAGTCTTCTCTTGTGTCAACTTGCTGTAGGATTCGCAGTGTGACTACTGATGAGTCTAAATCTACCCAAAAGAAAGACAATAGGTTGTAATAAACCCATTAGTTTAAATCTTTAGCAAGGCTGTGCAATCATATCGGGAAGACCAAGCCACACAGATCCTATAGCCCTGACTGCAGATTAAGGTCATGGGGACTCTGGGAAGGACGAGAGAAGCCTTCGGAGCCCAGCCTTTTGAACTCTCCTAAGTCACATTTGCTCACCTCTCTGCTGTTCTGCTCATTTGAAATAATCCACTTACACCCATTTTTGTGTACAAATAGGTTGTGTTGTCAATCACAATAAGACGTCTCACATGGAGAACCATGATTTCCGATGACATCTACCTTATCTTCTAGCTGTAACAAAGAATTTGGAAAAAGAGAATAATGGGAATACTTTTCTTTTATGTTCTGAGAGCACATTTACACTAATACTTTCTAGATACTTTAGTACTTCAAGTATCCCTATGAGGTAGGCACTTATACTAGTTAGGATAGGTAATTCAAGCTGCTCTAATTAAAAAAACCCCTAATTCTCTCTGGTTTAACACAATAAAGATTTACTTCTGGTTTATGGCAAAGTCCAAAGTCGATGGTCTTACTTGGCAGAAGACCTTCTAGAAGGTCATTCAGAGACTCAAACACCTTCCAGTCTGTGGCTCTGCTGTCGCTTGGGGGCCTGGAGTCCTCTGCTAGATCTTCTGTATTCATCCAGCAGAGCAAGAAGAGAGAGCATGGCGTGTCACTTGGAAGGTTTGTGTGGGCCAAATCTGAAGCCAGCATCCATCACTTCTGCCTTTCTCCTAACAGCCAGCACCATCTGGCCACCCTAAACTGTAAGAGAGGCCAGGAAATGCAGTCTAGCTCTGGGACCAGAAGGAAAGGAAATTGGGTTTGCTGAAAAACTACCCAGTCTCTGGCATAGTGTTATCATCCCCACTTTACTGATGTGGAAACTGAGACATAAAGAAGTTAAGTAATATACCAAAGTCACCTGACTAACAGATGGTGGGCTAGAATCTGAACCCAGGAATCTGACTCCAGAACAGCCTTTTACACCATGGTACAGGGCTGCCTCCCAGATGATTACTGCATGGTACTTCCCATGACTTCAAATCAGTAAAATGAGGCAGAGGAAGATAACATGCCTCCTCCTAGTTGATAAAATGGAGCAGACACAAGACTAATGTTTGCTTATTCATGGAACTGAGGTCTCATCTAGAAGAAGTAGTGACCCTGGCTGTCTTCCTGAGCATCTTTGGGGAAGAGGGGTGTGTGTTCCAATCTCAGTGAATATTTTAGGGTGAGCCAGCTCACCCTCTATCACCTGAGACTCTTGTTTCCAACAGCATGCAACTAAAGAGGCAAATAAGTAGAACAGAGATCATGGGGTCAAACAGACAGGCAGTATGGCATGGGGTTGAGAGGCAGAATCTGGAATCAGAGCTCCTAAATCTGTAAAATCCATCCCTGACTCCGCCACTAGCTGGATGTGTGACTTAAGTTCTTAATCTCTCTATGCTATAGCTTACTCATTTGTAAAATGTTGAAAATAATAATACGTACCTCATATGTTGTTATGAAGATTAAATTAATACATACAAGGTGCTTAGAATAGTATCTGACATATCATAAGCAATCAAGAGGTTAGTCTGTGTTGTTATTGTTGTTGTTATTGTTATTCACTTGCACCTGATCAAGCTAAAGGCATGACACATACTTTTGCTGACACATAAAGAAAACTGTCATCTCAGTAAATGGCAGTTCATCTGCTCAGTAGCTCGTGCTGTTGGACTCTGCCCTTCCTCATCCCCGAACTCCAATCCGTCAGTTAAGTCCTGGCAGCTCTACCTCCAAGGTGTTTATTTATTTTTTTATTTTTTTTAAGATTTTATTCTTTCCTTTTTCTCGCCAAAGCCCCCCGGTACATAGTTGTGTATTCTTCGTTGTGGGTTCTTCTAGTTGTGGCATGTGGGACGCTGCCTCAGCGTGGTCTGATGAGCAGTGCCATGTCCGCGCCCAGGATTCGAACCAACGAAACACTGGGCCGCCTGCAGCGGAGCGCGCGAACTTAACCACTCGGCCACGGGGCCAGCCCCTCCAAGGTGTTTATTATATTTAGTTCACTCCATCTTCTCTGCTCCACCCTAGTTGAAGCCTCTGTCATCTCTTGCCTACAGCACTGAAAAACCCAAACTGCTCCTTGCTTCTCCTCATACCCCTACAAACCAATCTCCATGCAGAAGCTGGAGTGATCTTTTGAAATTACAGAGCAGACCATACGATTCCCCTGATTAAACCTGCAAATGACTTCCTACCTCATTTAAATAAAATCTCAAGACCTTCTCTTGGTCTTTGCCTTAGCAAGGGGTAGATAATTCCTTAATAGGTCCTAGTTAGTCCAAGACAATCTTAGCTTTTACTGTTCTTCCAAGAGTATTATTAATAGCACCTCCTTTTACTCTTAATAGTGTCCTGACGTAGATGATAAATAATATGATTACCCTACTTACAGGACCTGCAGCATCCTCACCCTAAGTAATACTACAAATACTCCTGGGTAATAACACTTTGGAGGGGTGGTGAGGAGGACTCACCTCCCAAATTAATTAAAGTCCTTTCTCCTTAAATGCAAAGTTTGAAGCAATTTAATTATAATACTGAAGTTTGAATTTAGTTTGATTGGCATTTAGCTGTATTTTTAATGAACTGGTGAATGACTTATACGTGGGCCGCTCTGCCTCTGGGCCCTGTCTTCCTCCCGGAGGGACTAGGCCATCTCTCCAGCACGGCCTGAGTCAATAGGCTACTCTCCGGGCCACATTGTTACTGTTACATGTAGATCTCCTAATGGACTGTGGACCCTTCTCTCAGACAAGATTCAGGTTCCTGGAGAAACTTCAGCCCTCACAGCAATCCCTCCACCCTCTCTGCAGGTATCCCACCCAGAACGGTGAGAAGATTTACCCTTTGACTCCCCTTTCTGCCTGGGGAATAGCCCTTTTCCTCTCCACTGAGGACTGAGAAGACAGACGGTACATTTAACCTCCCCTGTCTAGTACCTACCCGTGCCTTGTGAGCCCATGTGCTCTGTGTAAGGCCCACTCACTGAGAGAAACAAGAACCTATTTCTAGTCTTTAACAGACTTTTATGATCTAGTTCTGCCTATCTCTCTGACTTCATCACCTTTTACTTTTCCCCTCCATTAGCCACACTGCCTGCCTTTTCTTTCTGGAATATTCCAAGCATGATCCTGCCTTACAGCCTTTGCACTTGTGGTTCCTTCTGCCTGGAATGCTGTTCTCTTGATCTGCTTGGCTCAGACTAAATGTCACCGTTTTGAGGTGAGAGGCCTTTCTTGATCACCCAATCTGAAGTAATTTTCCCAATTGCTTTCTCATAATCCTCTTTTATTTCCTTCACAATACTTATTATCTAAAATTATTTTGCTGGTTTAATTGCTAATTTTTTCTTTCAAACTCCATGATAATAATAATAATAGTTGCTAGAATTGCTGTGAGCCTAACACTCTTTCTACATTGATTAATTTTTAAAATCCTTATTGTCATTTTATGAGATTGATACTGTTATTATTCCCATTTAATAGATAAAGAAACTGAGGTTTACGGAAATGAAGGAACTTTTCCAATGTCACAGAGAAGGAGCCAGGATCAAGCCTAGACACCCTTGCTCCAGTGTCCAACCTGAGCCGTCAGGCAAGGCCACCTCCCATAAAATTTCTCCCCAGCAGAGAGAACTTGCCTGTCCTGTGTGCCACTGTGTCTACTCCCAGCACTTCTGTGATACTGTGATTTATAATAAGAAATATACATTTGGCTTTTGTCCAGGTTCTAGCACAGGACTCCTTAAGATAGCAGAATTTCCTAAGTGGTAAGAGCAATAAAGGTGTTTTTGGTTATGGTAATGAGTGACTTTTGGAAAGTACCTAAGGATGAGGGCTGCTTGCCAGAGGAGCCAATCATGTGACTAGAGCGTTGAAACTTTCAGTCCCACCCCCCTGACCTCCACCAGAGATGTTCAACCACCAATGGCCAATGATTTAATCAAACATGGCTATGAAATGAAGCTTCCATAAAAACTCACAAGGACAAGGTTTAGAGAGCTTCCGGGTTGGTGAACACATGAAGGCTTGGGGAGAGGGGTGAGCTCAGAGAGGGCATGGAAGCTCTTTTTCCATACCTTGCCCTGTGCACCTCTTCCATCTGGATGTTCCTGAGTTATATCCTTTTATTATAAACCCGTACTCTAGTAAGTGAAGTGTTTCTGTGAGTTCTGTGAGCCATTCTAGCGAATTAATTGAACTCAAGGAGGAGGTCATTGGGACCTCTGATCTATAGCTGGTTGGTCAGAAGCCCAGATGACAACCTAGATTTGTGATTGGTGTCTGAAGTGGGTGGGGGGCAATCTTGTAGAACTGAACCTGTAACTTGTAGAATCTGATGCTCTCTCCAGGTAGACTGTGTCAGAACTGAGTTGAATTGTAGGACACCCAGCTGGCATCCGAGATTGCTTGCTGGTGTGAGGAAACCCCTCACCCCTCTGACACACACTGGAATTGGTGGGCAGAACAGCTTTAACCTCACACAGGACTTGGCAAAATTAATGTTTGTTGAACTTTGAGTGAATAAATATTGTTGTAAAACCATGACCCTATTTTTTACAAGCAGAGAAGAAAACCTCTCACTTACCTACCTAATATAAATGATGCAGCCCAATCCCTTGTTTCAAGAGCTGGAGGCAGAGGCCCAGCAAGCCAGGGCTGCCTCAGAAATCCAGACAGGGGAAAAGTGCAGTGTAGATTCCTGGCAGATCCTGCATGGAGTCTTAAGAAATTTCTAGGGGTAGTTTTCCATGGGGTTTCCGAGTTAGTCATAAAATAGGCAATCTGGTGCCAGCTTACTAACTCTAAAAGAAGCAAAATCCAGACATAGAAGCAAAGCATAGAGTGAACTAACAAATCCCCTCACACCTTCTCCATCTTAGGGGTGAGCACAGAAAATTAAGCTGTCTTCAATAGAATGTCCACCACCTGCAACTGAGTACTAGGGGACCTCCTTCCCTCATAGTCTACTTCTCCACCACACCTCCTCTGGGCTCCCACCGCATTCTGTACAGACCTGGGCCTCTTCACTCATCGCATTATATAGAATTTCACTATCCTTCTGCCTCCCATCCCTTCTAGATGGTAAAGTCCTTTAACAATACCATGTCTAGTTCATCCTTTATGTACCATGGCACAGTTAATAACATAAGCTTACTAATGTTAGCTGTGTCCATCTGACTTGCCTTAGTTTACTTCTCTGAGAGCAAAGGAGAGTCACACAATGATCTGCAAGTTGTTTTCCAGGTCTATATACTGTATTGGTCAGGTGCATTGCTCTTGTTTTGGATTTGGGTTCCGCTAAAAAAAGATGAGTCTTTGTCTGTATGCACTAGAATCTGGTTGTGTTCCAACTAGTTTTTAACGAGATGAATATGCCCTTTCAATGTCGTGATCCTATTTGTCCCCCTATCTCTTCCCTGCACTGCTGGTTATTTATATATTTAATGTGCAATTAAAGATGTACCAGCTCATACATCAGAGCCCTGCTCCCAGCATCCAAGGGGCCCATTAGAAGCAGATCTGTGTATCTTGACTAGACTGAATCCCTTGGAGGCCATTTATCTGGGTTGGCTGTGTGTATAAACTAGGACTTCTCTTTTTTTCCCCCCCATTACTTTCTTTATATTACCGATGTTTGTATAACTATTGTTCAGTTCTCATTTTTGTGAACATCTGTTATGCAGCCAATCATAAAAAAAAAGCTAAACATATCAACAACACTTCCCTCACTCCCCAGGGAATTTAGACCTATTTATATAGCGGCTGAATGTAAAGATACTGTGATTTATATCATTTGTATTATTCTAAAACTAACAGAATGTCTTGGGAGCCTTAAACAAGTTATATGATTTTTCTTAATCATCAGCTTCTTTACCACTGAAAACAAATAAGAGAAACTGAACTATGATGTTTTTTACAGTATTAATCCTAATATTCATTAACTAAGTAAAAGGCACTTAGCAGCACAAGGATTTTGTGCTGCTTGAATCTTAGTTCCTTCTTCTCTCAAATTCATTCATTCAACAAATATGTATTGAATGTCCTATGTGGCAGGAAGTAAGTCTCAAAAGCCTAACTTTTTGAATATTGAGTTCATTTGTTGAATGTATCTTTCCACATATGCAATTGTCTAAGTGTCTTTGAATACACTTTGTGCTTCCCGGTACTACCTTTAGTCTTCCATTTCTTCTTTCAAATGTGAGACCCATGCCCAGCACAGAGTGTATTGAGAAGGGGCTTAATGATGTTCCTTCCTGGAGAAATTGGAGAATATTTTGTTTCCTGGCACATAGAAGGTAATCAACCAAGAGTTTTTGAATAAAAATGAGTGGACGAAGTTAAACTCAAATAAAATAAAAGTTTTCAAGTGCTATTGCATGGACTGCCTGTCTTTCTCTTGTTACCATCCCTTCTTTCCTTTTGCCATCAACAGACTCATCAGTCTCTCTGCCTACTCTACAAGCTGAGAACCTTTTTGTCCCATTTTCTCCTTGTGCCCTTGTGCCATTGACCCTTGTGGTTCTCTAGGAACAGTGTTCTGAAGGTTCTAGAAATAGAGAAAGCCTGTAATCATGGTGTTAAATTTGTGCTGATTCTCATAACACCCATAATGAGGAGGAAGGGGGAGAAGATGGGAAGTCTAAGAAAAGAGGAAAGCATACATTTAATTCAACAAATATTTGTTGAATGTATTACATGTATCCTTGTTCTAGATACTGAAGATAAAGAAGTAAACAAGACAACCAATGTCCTTATAATGGCAGAAGAAAGTAAACAAATCATTATAGAAAAAGAAAAATACCAGAGAAGAAGTATTTAAGGGGAATTAAATGGAGTGAAGTGAGAGAGCATGACTCCTAATCCCTTCAGTTTGGGATATCAGAGAAAGCCTTTTTGAGGAGGTGATTGCATCATTCATGCTTATTATTTTCTGTGTTTTATGATATTTTGACATCTCCAGGCCTTGCTAATCCTGGAGAGACTGCTCCTCCCAGGATGAGCTAATTCCTAGAGATAGCAGATGACTATCCCCCTCAGTCCCCACCGCCCCCACCCCTCCCCCCCGACTGTGAGCATGCCTTTGATATGCAAACCAACCAATTCTGAGTCCATACCCCCATCACCTCCTTTTATCAGGTTTCTACAGTTCAGGATTCTATCCTCCTGCCCTAAATCACTCCGGGGCCAGACAACTAGGAACCAACCCTATAGTCCAAAGCTGGCCAAAATTCTTCAAACTCCAGTCCTTAATTTGCTCAGCTGCCTACACTGCCTTGCCCATTCTTTCCTGTGAAAACCACAATAAAGTCTCAAGTCTGTGCTTTCCCCTCACCCCTTATTGCCTCCTGACTGACCTTGATGCTTCTTCATGTGGCCCTGTGTGCCGTGCCTCCTGTTTCTAGGGACTTGTGAGTGTAAAAATCTTCTTTCTTCATGATAGTCATTTCTATGTCTGCATATCTTACCATATGTGATTAAAACAAATTCCAGGTACATTTTAACACGGTGATACTTAAGCTGAGATCTGAAAGACAAGAAGGACCAGCCACATAAAGGTCAAGATGACAGCGTTCTAAGTAACGATGCAGAGACTCTAAGCTCAGTAAGACAAAGGACCACATAGGAGATGTGTGTGTCTGGAGTAAATTGCCTTCTCACTTCTTACTTCTTTTCCTTTACCCTCCAGACAACCATTGATCTCCGGTAATCCACAAATTCCTAAAAGCAGATATCTCTGTGGAAGTCTCATGTCCCACCATCCCTTTTATACAATTCAACTCTGTAAGTAGATAAGTGATGAGAAGAACTGAAGTTCTCATTAAAGCAATTCACACTTAGGAGTCAAAGAATCTTTGCTAAGGCACTGTCATTGAAAGGGGGAACGTACTAACTGAAACAAGTTTCATAATCAGTCACACTCAATAGTTTTTCTGTCTTGACGACAATCAAATACCCAACAACATCAAATACATCTTTCATTACACCCCGGTTCTAGGGGCTGAGTGAGGAGGAATGATTTTTCCTACAGGTGTAAATGACTGTTGTGATCACTCTTTGCACTTGTGATTTCTTGTTCAATGTTTGTCTTGTCCTTTATGTTTACAATTATACCCAAAGCTACATGATGGTGGGAGATATGTCCGACTCCGTATCATGAGCAAAATACAGTGTTTGGCAGACTGCAGGCCTTCTATTAATGCCTTCAGAATAAAAATTATTGAATGAAATCAGACTAAGATAAAGTATAAATATGAAAGATAAAAGTAATTTCCAATATTTTAGTCCCTCAGGATCCAGTGAGGCTTAATTTCATAGACTTACGGGTTTCATTTCTCTCTGCACATTAAAATAAACCAGGAAGCTTTTAAAATATATTAATACCAATCCCCATTCCAATTGAGTCAGAATCTAAGGGTGGGGCCTGGGTATCAGCATTTAAAACAACTTCTCTAGATTTTTCTAACATGCAGCCAGGATTGAGGAGCACAGATCTAGACTAAAAGGTTACAAACAGCAAAGTTTAATGCATGTGGTTGGAGTCTGCGGACAATGTGAAGAGCAGCTATTAGAATTTGCACGGATCACTAAGAAAGTAGAATTCTCCAGGAAGAGGTTGACAATGGTCTAAGCTTCAGGGACCTATTATCATGTAGAGAAATGTGGGCAGTGAGGCTTTAGACAGAGATCTGAGCTGTGTGGACCAAGAAGGAAGAAGACAGGTGGGCATTTGTGGAGTAATGAGTTCTCTCGTGTTCATTTTTAAAATGTTTAGAGAACTTCAGGTGCCTGAAGTCACTGGCAGGTGTCTTTGCAGAAGTACAAACCATAATATTTGAGAAACAATAAGGAGAGAACTTGAGCACAGATTTTATATCCATCGTAAAAAAAAAAATAGATAACCTGGAAAATTATACTTCATTTTGCTGCAAGAGCTCATTATGCTGACAAATGTTTGTAAAATATGATTTCAGCCCATGAATTTTATTTTAACAGACATCCAGAGTAAGACCCATCTGCACAGAGCAAATGCTGACCTTCCTTTCTATTCCCAGATCCACAGTCTTACATTTCGAAAGAGGGTACTAGACCTCAGTTGATGTTTTCTTGTAATGGTAGCTGCCATGAAGTTGTAAGCTAACAAATGGTGATGATTCACAAAAGTTGTCCAAATGAATCCTTATCAACTGGAACCGCATTAATGATATGATATCTGAGTTTGTCACTGAAGAAGTTCTTGGGGAGCAAATTCAAATACCAATTAAAAATCCAAGTAGATTATGGTCTGATCTTCCATGGTTGTATAGACTATCATTCTGTTAGATGAGTTTTGTTAGGTATAACATAGTCCAGTGGATTTTAATGGAATACAGTAGGAAATGTTCATTGATATAGTTTCAGATTCCATGTTGCAACAACCATTAAAAACCAGCACTTGTCAAGTTTTGGTGTAGCATCAAAGAATATCCACAATTATCTGAAAGACCACTAAAATAGTCCTTCTTTTTCCAACTACATATCTGTGGGAGGCCAGATTTTCTTCATACATTTCAACCAGAGCAATACATGGCAAAAGATAGAACGCAGAAGCAGATATGTGGGTCCAACTGTCTTCAGTTCATCCAAACATCAAGGAAATTTGCAAAAATATAAAGAAATGACTCTCTTCTTACTAAAATTTTTGTTTTGGAAAATATAGTTATTTTTCATTAAGAGTAGGTTATTTATATTAACTTGTAATGGGGTTGTCACTGTTATTTTTAAATTAATATTTAATTATTCTCAATTTCTGATACAGTAAATATCAATAGACATAAACACTTAATTTAATACCAAATTGTATAACATATTAAAAGGTGATACACGCTGTATCTTTTTTAAAATAGGGGAATTGGGAATTCTGGGAGGGTTAAGAGTAGATTACAATATTAAATAGAGTGCTCAGGGTAGATTTCAGTGAGAAGGTGATATATGAATAACTGCTTGGAGGAGGTGAGGGGGTTAGCCTTGTGGGTATTTAGGGAAAGAGTGTTCTGGGAAAAGTAAAGAGCAAGTACAAAGCCTGGTAGCAGCAGTTTGCTGACGTGTTTGAGGACAGCAAGGAGGCCAGAGTAGTTGGAACAAGGTGAGCAAGGTGGAAAGAAATATGAAATGAGGACAGGGAGGTTGGGAGATGGAGGCAGTCACAGAGTCTTATGGGCTATTGTGGGGAGTCACTGGAGGATTCTGAGCACGAGAGTGGCACAAACTGACTTCTGTTTTAAAAGCTTACTGTGGAGGAGAGCTCCACTTCTGGCATGACAGCATGAAGAGCTCCACAGATCCACTCCCCACAGAAACTGGTGAAAATTAATATTGTTATTTTTTTAAAAAAAAGAGATTGGCCCTGACCTAATATCTGTTGCCAATCTTCAATCTTCCTCTTTTTTTTTTTCATTTTCCCCAAAGCCCCTCAGTACGTAGTTGTATATTCAAGTTGTAAGTCCTTGCAGTTCTGCTATGTGGGATGCTGCCTCAGCATGGCTTGATGAATGGTGCTAGGTCCACACCCAGGATCCAAATCGGCGAAACCCTGGGCCAACAAAGTGGAGCACATGACCGTAACCATTTGGCCGAAGGGCCAGCCCCAAAAATTATTTTTGAAATCAACCATTTAAGGTCTCTGGAAATGGCCCAAAGAGCATACAGTAAATAAACAAACATTTATTTAAGAAATCTACTAAAACTTGGTAAGAACTACAAGAGTCTGTGGTATCTGAACCAAAACCCCTGAGCTCCTCTCCAACCCAGTGAGGTGGAAACCTCACTCCAGAACTGTAGAGCCATGAACACAGGGCTCTCTCTCTGCTAAGCTCCCAGTTGGAAGGGTTGTCTTTTCCAGAGGGGCATTACATAAGCATTGCTCATCCTGCCTCCAGTTGTCTGTTGCTGAGGTTAAGTTCCAGGTGATTGTGTCTGAGAAGTGGAGGCTCCATCTTTTGGCCAGCCCCCACTCATGGGATGGGGGCTATAACTTGAGCATGGCCCCTTTGAGAATACTGGGACACTGTTTATACTTTCCTTGGCTTGTAGGGTGAGAGTTCCATGCCGAGAGAGGCAAGCTGAGGAGACCTGGGGTTGCTGTCTCTCCGACCACTGAATGCTTAGCTCCTAAAATGGTGTGTCACTCAGAGAGCAGTGTACCATTGTCCCACCCCTAGCATCAATGTGTCACTCAGAGATTTTGCCCAGGACGAGAAGCAGGCCGTAAGACAGAGAGCTCAAAATCCCGCCCCAAAGGACTGACTTCATTTGCAACAGCATAGAGAAGTTCAAGCCTAAGGTCACTCTCAAAAACAGTGGAAGTTGTGGTGAAAGACAATCAGGAGGAGATTGATAGATTCTTTGGAGATAAAGACTAAACTGTAGTCCCCACAGCTTTCCAGACAGAAATGGGAAAAGAGACAGATGGGAAGTGACCTCTTAGGGTCAGAACAAATCTCAGAACTATCCCTTTCAAAGGAGCCAAATGTTGATTTGATTAGTCTGTGAAGTAATTTATGCCCCAAAGCACTGTTGAGAACAATAAAGTATCAGCCTACAGTTGGTGCAGCTTGACATCTGGGTGTGGTCAGGGAAAGACACAATCAGAGAGCCTTGCCAAAATCATTGACACCCCAGAATAACTATGGGCCCCAGAAAAGCAGGTACTTTAGTCCACCAACATAGATGTAATGGGAATACCAGAAGGAGAAGAGAGAGAGCAAAAAGAAGGAAAATGTTTGAAGAAATAATGATTGAAAACTAATGAAATATATTTTTAAAAATTAATTTATACATCCAGGAAGCTTAAGAATTCCAAGTAGAATAAACACCAAGAAATATAGAAATAGACACATTATAGTAAAAATGCTGAAAGCCAAGTCAAGGAGAAAATCTTGAAAGTAGCAAGAGAAAATGACTTGTCACTTACAAGGGAAGTGCAATAAAATTAACAGATGACAGAAAAAATGGAAGCTAGAAGCCAGTGGGATAATGCATTTGAAGTGCTCGATG